AAAAAAAACAGTCCACACCTTACTTAGAGTGATGCCTTCTGTGCAGTGGTGATGGCCCCTGATTAATATGTTATGCTTTAGGGATAGATGACTCTTTTGAAAGATGATGCTGTTAGGTGGTGAGGAAAGGCCATTTGGGAGGCAGGCTGCTTATGTTTAGAAGGCTGTGGCTCTCAGAGTCCCACAGCTGGAAAGTGGGGAGGCTGAAACCAAACCGTCAGGCTCTGTCTCTAGCATGCATCTCTTGGTTCCCGTCCTTCCCACCTCTCCTCCTGAATCTTCTAAAGATTTGCCAGACTATACTTCTTGCCAGAATGTCTCAGTGTGAGCACTCTGCCTGCCTGTCTGCTGAATTCTCTCCTCCCCTCTGAGGTCGGTGTTAGACCTTATCTGTGCTATCGTGATGCTTTCCCCAAATTGGATGGCATTGAGTTTGTACTACTTGTATGGCACTAAGCCTGTCACCTTTTCTGAAAAAACTCCCAGCAAGATAGCATGCCCCCAGCAGTGCAGAAGTGAATGGTGTACGTGTGTTCTCCTACGAATTTCAAACTCTACCGCGGAGCAGCGGTGTCTCGTCTTCCCTGTCTGCAAGGCTCGGGGCTTAGACACACTATATGACCCATGAGTACTCACTGAATTGTACTAAAATCAAGGAGGTTATATACTTATACATTTGACTATATCCTAAACTATTTAAATTCTTAGAAGCAGCATTACTAAAGGGAAGTATTACACAGCAAGAAAAAATAAACTTTTGACCTACAGTAAAAGTGATGCCTTATTTGGGGGGGAAAGATGACAAATTTTTCTATTTTATCTGTGTTAAATGTGCTATTCTGTTTAACTGAATTGCGTAATAGGCGTGTTGCCGAATTATCTTTAAACCACTGAATTCTAATTGTCACCTACATAATTTTCTGATTTAAAAAATCTAAAGTTGTGATAAAATGAAATGTAATTTTAACAGGAAAATACACCTAGATGATGACACTAATTTAAAATCTTGAGTTTAAATTTCTGCCTTTCAATTATTTTAATATATTTTATATTTTCTTTCTGTACTTCTTTCTTCTCACATACCAGTAAGCCAAGTACACCTCATCACATCTAAGGGAAACGGTGAGAAGCCGCTGACCATGGAGGAGATGGAGACCTTCAGCCTCACGGTCAACCCTCTCAGCGACAGACTCTCCCTCCTGAGCACCAGCAGCGAGACGATTCCCATGGTCATGTCTGACTTTGATCTTCCAGACCAGCAGGTGGAAACCCTTCAGAGTTCCGACTCAGGGTGTTCACAGTCCTCTGCTGGGGACAACTTGAGTTATGAAGTCGATCCCGAAAACGGGGATGCCCAGGAGGAGCCTCCAGTGCCAAAGGCCAGCTCCCCGGAGGACGACATCCAGCAGGTGCTACACGACCTGATCTGTAAGGTGGTGAGTGGCCTTGAAGAAGAGTCTGCCTCAGTGACGTGTCAGGCAGAGGCAGAAGCCGTGCCCCCGCAGTGCAGTGGTACAGATCCAGGGGAAGAGGGGATGAAAACCGAAGACCCTTCTGCTCAGCAGGGTCACAGTGCTTTGCTGGGTAGTGAGAGCTCTGACTGTCTGTCTGCCTCGGCGGAGGAAGAGCAGGCGTGCCTGGCTGACGGAGTCCCCAGGAATAGCTCCTCACCTTGTATTTCAGGAGCCACACAGCCTCTTCCTGACACTTCTGCTGCTTCCACAGAAACTAAATCTAGACAGAGGAGTCACAGCAGCATCCAATTCAGCTTTAAAGAAAAATTATCAGAAAAAGTCTCAGAGAAAGAAACAATCGTTAAGGAGTCAGGTAAACAACCAGGAGCAAAACCTAAAGTGAAACTTGCCAGAAAGAAGGATGATGACAAGAAAAAAACTTCAAACGAAAAACTCAAACAGACCAGTGTGTTCTTCAGTGATGGTCTGGATTTAGAGAACTGGTATAGCTGTGGAGAGGGAGAGATTTCTGAAATTGAGAGTGACATGGGTTCTCCAGGATCACGGAAATCTCCCAATTTCAACATCCATCCTCTCTATCAACACGTGCTCCTGTATCTCCAGCTGTACGATTCATCCAGAACTCTGTACGCTTTCTCGGCCATCAAGGCCATCTTGAAGACTAACCCCATTGCTTTTGTAAACGCCATTTCAACCACTAGTGTGAATAACGCGTATACTCCTCAGCTGTCCCTGCTTCAGAACCTGCTGGCCCGACACCGGATCTCTGTAATGGGCAAAGACTTTTACAGCCACATTCCAGTGGACTCCAACCATAGCTTCCGGAGCTCCATGTACATAGAGATCCTCATCTCCCTCTGTCTGTACTACATGCGCAGCCACTACCCCACGCATGTCAAGGCCACTGCCCAAGACCTGATGGGCAATCGGAACATGCAGGTGATGAGCATGGAGGTCCTGACGCTGCTCTTCACTGAGCTGGCGAAGGTGATAGAGAGCTCAGCAAAGGGCTTCCCTAGTTTTATTTCTGACATGTTGTCCAAGTGCAAAGTCCAGAAGGTGGTTCTACACTGCCTGCTCTCGTCCATCTTCAGTGCCCAGAAGTGGCACAGTGAGAAGCTGGCAGGCAGGAACACGGCCGCTGTGGAAGAGGGCTTTTCAGAGGACAGCCTCATTAACTTCTCAGAGGACGAGTTTGACAGTGGCAGCACGCTGCAGTCACAGCTGCTCAGGGTGCTTCAGAGGCTGATTGTTCTGGAACACCGGGTGATGACTATTCCTGAAGAGAACGAAGCAGCTTTTGATTTTGTTGTGTCTGACCTGGAACACATCAGTCCCCATCAGCCCATGACTTCCCTGCAGTACCTGCATGCTCAGCCAATCGCGTGCCAAGGCATGTTCCTCTGTGCGGTGATCCGGGCCCTGCACCAGCACTGTGCATGCAGAATGCACCCACAGTGGATCGGCCTGGTCACATCCACTCTGCCCTACATGGGCAGGGTGCTGCAGAGAGTGGTCGTCTCCGTGACACTGCAGCTGTGCAGAAACCTGGAGAACCTGATCCAGCAGTATAAGTATGAAACGGGATTGTCGGACAGTAGGTGAGGGTCAGTTTTTAACTTTGTGGTTGATAATTTTTCACAAATGCTTAAACATCTAGAGAGTCACAAGTAATAAGTAATAAATAAATAAATCAGTGGTTTTCAACAGGTTATAAATAGTATGTCACTGTTTATGAAGAACAAAACTCAGTTTAAGGAAGCGTCTTTGTTCCATGCCCATAGCACAGTGGTTATAGCGCCAGCCACGTACACCAAGGGTGGTGGATTTGAACCTGGCCTGGGCCAGCTAAAAACAATAATGATAACTGCAACAAAAAATAGCCAGGCGTTGTTGTGGGCACCTATAGTCCCAGCTATGTGGGAGGCTGAGGCAAGAGAATCGCTTGAGCCCAAGAGTTTGAGGTTGCTGTGAGCTATGATGTCACAGTACTCTACCAAGGGTGATATAGTGAGACTCTGTCTCAACAACAACAACAAAAAAGGAAGTGTCTCAATAAAAGAATCTAGAATGGAAAAGGGAAGGAGTATTTAACAGGTCTTTTTTTCTCCCAAGCTATGAAGTTAGTTTTGACACTCTTCTCCACTGAGCAGCAAGTCAGAAGATGCTTAGGAGGGGATTTCTGCAGTTTTATCTGATGTCATCTAAGTGAAAATTAATATCAGCTGAAATTGATTTAAATTGACTACTAATGATTCTCCCACCTATTTTATTTCTTTCTCTTGGATTTTCATGGTTTGGTAGCAAATTTCATCTTTGTCTGCAGACCATGTTCAAAATTAGTCTGTGAAAAGTTAGCCAAATATTTAGTAGACTGGTGTCTTATTTATCTCCATCATAACCAGAGCTACTCCATGTAAAATAAGAAACTGCGTTTATCATTTAATACTGTAGTGCCCCCATTGCCCAGTAGCTGGAGGTTCAGTGGCTGTATTTGTTTATTTATATAGAATTTGTTAGTTAAAAAGAACTCTAATACATTTAGCCTGGCTCACTTACTTTATAGATTGGGAAATAAAAGCACTTGGTTTATTCTTTTGGTCTTTTATTTGTTGAACATCTGCTGTGTGCCTGGTATCATTTAAAAGTGATAAAACAGGAGGTGGTGCCTGTGGCTCAGTGAGTAGGGCACCGGCCCCATATACCGAGGGTAGTGGGTTTGAACCTGGCCCCTGCCAAACTGTAACAAAAAAATACAGGAGCCCACCACAACTGCTGCCCAGGCATTGTGGCAGACGCCTGTAGTCCTAGCTACATGGGAGGCTGAGGCAAGAGAATCACCTAAGCCCAAGAGCTGGAGGTGCTGTGAACTGTGACACCACAACACTCTACCGAGGGCAACAAAGTGAGACTTCGTCTCTAAATAAATAAATAAGTAAAAGCGATAAAACCAAGACTGTGCTCTCATAGAACTCGTGTTCAGCTGAATACATCTTGTTTCAGGCCTCTGTGGATGGCATCCATTATCCCACCAGATATGATTCTCACTCTTCTGGAAGGGATCACCGCCATTATCCATTACTGCTTGCTGGATCCTGCTACACAGTATCACCAGGTGAGGCTGCTCAAGAACTTGGCTCCTTTAACTTAACTCTGAGGTTCAGTAATTTTCCACTGTGAATCTCCGTAAGTAATATTAGGATTTTTCTCCCTGACCATAACAGCTTTTGGTCAACATCGACCAGAAGCACTTATTTGAAGCACGCAGCGGGATCCTCTCCATCCTCCACCTGATCATGTCGTCCGTGACGCTCCTCTGGAGTGTGCTGCACCAGGCCGATTCTTCAGAAAAGACGGCTGCTGCTGCGTCTGCGTCTGTCACCACGATTAACCTCGGAGCCACGAAGGTCAGACCATTCACACTCAGTCTGTAGAGCTCCAGAGTCTGTAGGAGGACCTTCCTCCCCAAAGGTCACATTCAGAATATGTGACTGACTCGTACAGTGTTCATGGCACCCTGCATAGCATGCATGATTAACTGCCAAATAACTTTTAGCAGTTTTATTGAGGTATGGTTGACATATCATAAAAGGCACCTATTTTAAGTACACAACTTAGTGATTGTTTCTTAGTAAATTTAAGTTGTGGACTATCCCCCAGTTCAGTCTTTGGGCACACAGTTCACCCCAGGAAGCTCCTTTGTGCCCGTCTGCACGCACCCACTGCACCCAGCCCTCACCCCAGCCGGCTGTTAGTCTTTTCTCTGTGTAAAGATTTGCTTTTTCTGGGTAGTTCATGTAAATGGAATAATTTGATACTTGGTCTTTTGCGTGTAGTATCTTTCATGTGACAATTTTTCGAGGTTCATTTATACATGGGATAACTTTGTTCCTTTTTCTAAGGACATTGTAAGTTGGCTTTTTACTATGCAAAGCCCTCCTTGAAAACAAATTAGCAAATGCCTATGTAAACATAGAGCTTTAAAAGTCACAGTCTTTGACCCAGTAATCTGCTTTAGGAATGAATTCTAAGATAACCAAAATTATGCAGAGATATAATATACAAAGTGTTCATTCTAATGTTATTTAATAGGAAAAAAGAGATCTTAATAAAGAAGAAGATGGTTAAGTAAAATATCCTTTCAGTGTTACATTATGTGCCCAGTAATGATCATGGTTTTGAAAAATTGTTATGGAATGGCGAAGTACTCAGTAGTTGAGTGAGACAAGGATGTTACACACTTGAACAAATAATTGTGTTCTTAATTGTGTAAAGAAAAATGAAGTGCAGACAAAAGAATAAAGTTCATGTTAGCAGCGAGTACCTCAAGGATAATGCAACTGATGATAATTAAAAAAAATTTCCTTCCTTGTACTCTTTGGTATTTTCCAACTGCTGTGTCACGTTCTCAAACTGACATCCCTTAGTAACTTAATTTTACTCCTAGACCTGACCACCTAGGTCTGGGGCTCACAGGAACATTGTGAAACTGGGGGAGGGGATTAAACTATACTTTTTATGTGTTATTTTATTTATATAAAAACACAAAGAGTTCTGTCATTATAAAATGCCTTTCCACTCTTTAAAAGACTGCACGTCAAATGTAATTAAGTTGAATTTCATTATGTTAGTTTTCCTAGTATTTCTTCACAGTGAGTAGACTGGCATTTGACTGATTAGTAGCTATCATTTTACAGGGTTTGTGTTTCTATTAGAATTAAAATACTCATAGTTGCAGCTCCTATCACTGTTAAATTTGTTATTTAGGTAGTAATATACCTAAGTACTATATGTATTATTTCAAAAAAGAAAAAGGTACAATCTAGTTATTAACATTCACTTTTCATTTGCTTCAAATGTTTTAGAACTTAAGGCAGCAGATCCTCGAATTATTAGGCCCCATTTCAATGAATCACGGTGTCCACTTTATGGCTGCTATTGCATTTGTGTGGAATGAGAGAAGACAGAATAAAACTGCTCCCCGGACCAAGGTATGCATTTGACCCTGTGGAACTTTTTGTTTTTCCATTTGGTAAGCATTTGGTGAGTACATGCTAATTTTTACCTCTCCTTTAGTTGCAATGGGATTAGGGTATAGAGACAGTGGGAAAGCAAAAGTTTGTCTACAAATTTAGGTAAAGTTGCCTAAATTTCATGAAGTGTTTGATTGAAATTTGAGGTTGTGTGTAAAGGAAATTAGCATTGTATTATAACTGTAACTCTATTTTACATAGAAGCAGTGATATGGGACAGTGTATTTTAAAATGCTTGTCATTTAGAGTACAGAGTGAGAATACAGAAAAGAGTTTTTCGTCTCGACTGTTTTTCATTACAGCATGATAGCTTAAGTAGTTCATGTGTCTAAATGTAATTCATATACTGGTTTTGACTGAATTATATATATGAATTTTTTTGCCCTGTGAATTTGAAAGCTCAAAAACAATGTTCTATAGTGTTAGATAAAAATCACAATGCATTAGAATAGTAGGCTATAAAATAATTTAGACATGATTTTTCCACCTAAAGGTTATATATATATATAAAATTATCTTTTTTTTTTTTTTTTTAGAGACACAGTCTCACTTTGTCACCCTCTGTAGAGTGCTCTGGCAGCACAGCTCACAGCAACCTCCAGCTCCTGGGCTTAGGTGATTCTCTTGCCTCAGCCTCCTAGTAGCTGGGACTACAGGTGCCCGCCATAACACCTGGCTATTTTCTGTTGCAGTTTGGCCAGGGCAGGGTTTGAACCTGCCACCCTTGGTATATGGGGCTGGCACCCTGCTCACTGAGCCACAGGCACCACCCTGATTGGATATTTTTGTTCTGTTTTACATAAGCTTTCTAAAGTAATAAATATAAACATTCACACCATGTTACATTATTTTGCATGTGAGGATTTAGTGGTAGATACCATGTTGAATAGAAATTAAATCTTTACTAATTAAAAGCTGTGAAGGGTATGTGATTTTTCTCTGTACTCTAACAAAAAATGAGAGTAAAAGGATTTTAAAAGGCAACAAGCACAGTAGGCATACCTGCTGGCCAGCTGTGAGGAGGCTGCACACAGTGTGATGTGCCTATGAAGGGTGGAGGCCGCACTTCATCTCCACCTGGGCAACATGAACACACCTGTCTCTTCAACAGCAACAAAAAAGGATAAATTCAAAAAGGCACAAAGTCACAACTACAGAAGAGTTGGGAGAGGTGACCAGACAACAATAAGAAGTGTCAGCAGAGCATTGTGTAGTGAAATACACAGAATTAGACTAAAAAGTCAAACGATGTAGGTAACAGAAGAAAATGTCAATGATAATAGCAATGTCCTTCAAGGGATAAAGTCATAGGAAGAAGAGATTATGAGAAAGAGTATTACAAAAATTTCTCATTTTCTTGGATATTAAAAATTCTGTAGTAGGTCAGCCAATCAAGATGGTGGACCAGAAGGATCTTTCAACTGAGCTCTCCTAGAACAACTGGGGAAAAAGAGAGAACCCAGCCATCCCTGGCTTGGGGACCTTACCCAGAGTCATAGTTCAGGGGGCACAGCAAGGAAGTGGTGACCTAGATACAGTGTATGATCCAGAGTGGTAGAAATCTAATGAATTAGGCAAGTGATTGTGATCAGCTAGGAATGTCTAGCCCCCTACAGAAGCTGGGATGGGAGGAAGCCTTTCTGGAGTTTTCAGTTGTTGGGGGAAGCTGTGAATTAAGTGGAAAGCTTGGAAAAGTGGCAGACTTGAACAGTATACAGCAACCAGATTTGAATCCTGATTGCCATTGGTTTTGATGGCTGGTATGGCAGACATACTGAGTAGGTCTCAGTGGCCGGGGGCCTGTCACTGTGGGAAGGTCAGGTGAAGGTCGTGGAATCAAAGCCATCTTAATTCCACCTGCTGGGATCAGAATTCCACTCTTGGGACAGGGTGAGGGATATTCACATCCCACGGGAACTAGAGCCAGGGGACACTTTGAGACCTGCCCCTGAAGGATTCTTGTAAGCTTTAAGATCCCAACCTAGCAGTGTCGGAATGCTCAGGAAAGAATCAGGTGATCACTGAGGGCAACTAAGTTAGGAATAGGTTGCTGGTTGGGTTCTCTGTCTCCCAAAAAAACACAGCACCATCTGGTATCTCGGTAACACATTGCAATATATTGTCAGCAACAGCAAGGACTTCTGTGTGAAACAAAGGAGGTAGTGAGGAGGAAAAAGGAGCACAAGGGGGTGAACAAGAAGAAAGAACACATGAGGAGGAATCAACAGAAAAATTCAAGCAACATGAAAAACCAAAACAGAGGAATTCCCCCAAAGGACCATGAGACAGCTACTGCAAAAGATTCCATCTATGAAAAATTAATGGTTTTGACATAAAGGGAATTTAAAAATGGATAATAAATACAATAAAGGGCATGGATGACAAAATGGAAAGACAAAACCAAAAGTCAGAGGAGAGACATGTAGAATATAAGAAAGGATATGGCAGAGCTTAAGAAAAATGAAGGAGACAATAGGGGAATGTAAAGATGCCGTAGAAAATATCAAAAATAGGTTACACCATGGAGAAGAAAGAACCTCAGAGCTAGAGTATAAAATTTTCGAGTTAACCTGGGTAGTTAACCAGGCAGTAAAAGAAGAGAGAGAAAACAGAACAGGTGCTTAGAGAACTATAAGACTCCATGAAGCATTCAAACATATGAATAATAGGGATTCCTGAAGGGGAAGAAGATTGTCCCAAAGGAATGGAAGAAAGCTCTACTGGAGATTATCATAAATGAAAACCAAGTTTTACTAAAGACCCTGACATGCTCCTTTCAAATGGATATCAAACCCTGGGTCATCTCAGCTCAAACAGAGCCTCTCCAAGACATGTGGTAATAAACCTGCCCAAATTCAAGATGAAAGAAAAAATTGTGCAAGCAGCAAGAGGTAAGATCCAGTTGACCTACAGGGGAAGAGCCATTAGGATGACAGCAGACTTTTCAACCAAAACCTTCCAAGCCAAAAGAGCATGGTCATTCACCCTCAACATTCTTTTTTTTTTAGAGACAGAGTCTCACTTTGTCACCCTTGGTAGAAAGCCATGGTGTCACACAGCTCACAGCAACCTCCAACTCCTGGGCTTAAGCAATTCCTTTGCCTCAGCCTTCTGAGTAGCTGGGACTACAGGCGCCCACCACAATGCCCAGCTATTTTTTGGTTGCAGTTCGGCTAGGGCCGAGTTTGAATCCGCCACCCTCGGTATATGGGCCTATCACCCTACCCACTGAGCCACAGATGCCCTAAAATACTTTTTTTTTTTTAAAAAAAAATTTTTTTCTGTTGGCCAGGGCCGGGTTTGACCCCTCCACCTCCGGTATATTGGTCCAGTGCCCTACTCTTTGAGCCACAGGCACCGCCCTACCATCAACATTCTTAAACAAAACAATTTCCAGCCCAGAATTCTGTATCCTAAGCTTCAAAATTGGAGAAGTCAAATCTTTTGCAGATATTCAAGCATAAGGAAATTCACCAGAAGACCAGCTCTACGAGAAATACATAGACCTATTCTCAGCACTGACCACCACAATGCACCACCAGCAAAGTAAACACCTAGAAGCTAAAGGTCAAAACTTAGCCTCCACAATGGTTCAAAAGATAAAACTACAAAACAGACTTTCACAAAATAAGGTAAATAGAGAACTTCACCACACTTACCAGTTCTCTCAGTAAATGTCAACAGACTGAATTCACCACTGAAGAGGCACAGGCTGGCTGATTGGATAAAAAAGCACAAGCCATTGATATGCTGTTTCCAGGAGACACACCTAGCCTTGAAACACAAATCAAGACTTGGGATTAAGGGATGAAAAACAGTATTTCAAGCAAATGGAAATCAGAAGAAAGGAAGAGTTGTAATCTTATTTTCAGATACAAACAGATTTAAAGCAACTAAAATTAAGAAAGACAAAGATAGACACTTTATACTGGTCGAAGGTACAATACAACAAGAAGACATTTCACTTTTAAATATTTATGCACCTAACTTAAATGCTCCCAGATTTATGAAACAGACCTTGCTGAATCTGAGCAATATGGTATCCCATAACCCCAGAATAGTCAGGAATTTTAATATTCCTCTGACAGAACTGGACAGATCCTGTAAACAGAAACGAAACAAAGATACAAAGGACTTAAATGTGATCCTAATACAAATGGGATTAATAGATATATACAGAACACACCATTCCAAAGCTAAGGAATATACATTTTTCTCATCAGCCCATAGTGCATACTTCACAATCACCCACATGCTAGGATACAAATCAAACTTCAGCATGATTAAAAGAATAGAAATTATACCTTGTATCTTCTCAGACCACAAGGCAATAAAGGTGGAACTCAACTCCAACAAAAACTTTGATATAGGCAGCGCCTGTGGCTCAAGGAGTAGGGCACTGGCCCCATATACCAGAAGTGGTGGGTTCAAACCTGGCCCCAGCCAAAAAAACAAACAAACAAAAAACCCTTTCATTCCCACACAAAGATTTGGAAATTGAACAACTTTATGCTAAATGATAGTTGGGTTCAGGAAGAGATAAAAGAGGAAGTTATTAAATTTTAAAAACATAACAATGAAGGCACAAGTTATCAAAACCTGTGAGATATAGCAAAAACAGTCTTAAGAGGGAAATTTATTGCATTAGATGCCTACATTCAAAAAACAAAAAGTACATCAACAAGGTCATGAACCATCTTATGGAATTGGAAAAAGAAGAACGCTCTAATTTTCAACTCAGCAGAAGCAAAGAGATAAATCAAAATTAAATCAGAAATGAATGAAATTGAAAAGAATCATCCAGAAAATTAACAAACGAAAAGTTGGTTTTTCAAAAAATAAATAAATAAAATCGATAAACCTTTGTCCAGATTAACTAGAAACAGAGAAGTAAAATCTCTAACAACCTCAATTAGAAATAATAAAGGAGAATAATAACAGAGATACAAGAAATCATCTCTGAGTACTACAAAAAAATCTATGCCCAGAAATTTGACAGTGTGGAGGAAATGGATCAATACCTGGAACCACACCCTCCCTAGACTCAATCAAGAAGAAATAGATCTCTTAAGCACACTGATTTCAAGAACTGAGATCAAAGAAACAATAAAAAGTCTCCCAACAACAACAACAAAAAAGCCCTAGTCCAGGTAGCTTCTCATCAGCATTCTATCAAACCTTCAAAGAAGAGCTTATACGTATATCACAGAAATTATTCCAAATAATTGAAAAAGAAAGAATCTTCCCTGACACATTCTATGAAACAAACATCACCTTGATACCAAAACCAGGAAAAGACCCAACTAAAATGGAGAATTTCAGACCAATCTCACTAATGAATATAGATGCAAAAATTCTCAACAAAATTCTAGCAAATAGATTACAGCTACACATTAAAAAAAAACATTCATCTCGATCAAGTAGATTTCATTCCAGAGATGCAAGGCTGGTTTAACATTCACAAGTCTATAAATGTAATACACTGTATCAACAGAAGCAAAAACAAAGACCATATGACCATCTCAATAAATGCAGAAAATGCATTTGATAAAATTCGGCTTCCTTTAAGAATATAGGCCTAAGTGGCACATTTCTGAATCTGATCAAAGCCATTTGTGACAAACCCAGAGCTAAAACTATACTTAATGGAGTAAAACTGAAAGCTTTTCCACTTAGAACTGGAACATGATACAGTTGTCTTCTCTAACCACTACTATTTAACATGGTACTGGAAGTTCTAGCCAATACAGTCAGGCAAGGGAAGGAAATAAAGGGCATCCAAATGGGGTTCAGAGGTCAAACTCTTGCTCTTTGCTGATGATATGATCTTATTCTTAGAGAACCCCAAAGACTAACCAAAAGACTCGTGGAAGTGATCAAAAAATACATCAGTCTGTCAGGATGTCCACAAATCAATAACTTTTGTATATGCCAGTAACAACCAAGATGGGAAGCTAATTGTGGGCAAAATTCCCTTCATAGTAGCTTCAGAAAAAATGAAATACCTAGGAATATACATAACAAAAGAGGTAAAGGACCTCTACAAAGAAAATTACGAAATCCTAAGAAAAGAAATAGCAGAAGATATTAACAAATGGAAGAAAATACCATGCTCATGGCTGGGAAGAACCAACACTGAAAATGTCTATACTGCCCAAAGCAATCTACAGATTTAGTGCCATCCGTACTAAAATACCATCATCATACTTTCAAGAATTGGAAAAAATGATTCTTTACTTTGTGTGGAAACAAAGTCAGGATGCTGGCCGCAGTGGTTCACACCTATAATCCTAGCACTCTGGGATGCCAAAGAAGGTGGATTGCCTGAGCTCACAGGTTCAAGACCAGCCTGAGCCAGAGCGAGACCTCATTTCTAAACATAGAGGGGCATTGTGGTAGGCACCT